CCCCCCCAAGGCAACCCGCTGCGGAAACTGACCAGCGGCTGACTACAGGAAGCCCGAGGCAGAGTTGCTGTGCCCCAGGCTTCCTGGAATCAGCCGCTGATCAGTTTCAGCAGCAGCAGACTTGGGGACGCCTGGGTTTCTTAAGTTGAATCTGTATGTAAGTCAGAACTGGCATCCAGATTCAGCCGCGGTTGAAACTGATCAGTTTCAGCAGCGGCTGACGCCAGTTCCGACTTACATACAGATTCAACTTAAGAACAAACCTACAGTCCCTATCTTGTACGTAACCTGGGGACTGTCTGTACTCTTTTGTTTTAAACCTATAGCTTATTCATTTATTAGGCTATCCCTGTTTCTTGTATTATGTGAAGGGGTAAATAACACATCCTTATACACTTTCTCCAACCATTCATGATTTTACAGGCCTCTGTCAAATGCCACTGCTTGCTTCATCTCTTTTCCAAGTTGAAAAGTTCCAGTCTTTTTTTTTTATCACTCCGCATATGGAAGATGTTCCATACCCCTAATTGTATTTTTTGCCATTCTCTATATTTTTTCCAATTCTAACAGAATATGTGGTTTCCTTTAGAAGCTGTATCATTGTACTGTTATGTTTTGAGATGCAACCTGCATCACAAGGAGAAGGTGGTATTGCACAGAGGACTGCACCCAAGGGGTATTGGCATCAGCAAGTCTTGATTTCTGATCCTGGCTATGCCTTTATTGTTACTTGGATCTAGTTACTTCCCTCTTATTCTCAGTTTACCCCAGTATGTAAAGACATCAGTATGTAGCTACCTCCCTCCCAAGGACATCATAGGATTACCTGAGTAATGTCTGTACAGTGCTTTGAATGTACAATGCACCATGAGTGCTAAGTGTGATTTGTATTGTGAAGATCTTGCTCTTTAGGTGTCACTGATTATGCACTTCCTGCTAATTACAAATTTGAGAAAAGGAAGGAAAATGAAAAGCCTTTGCTGTGGCTATTTTCCACTACATTTAGACAACAAACCAATAACTGCTTTGGTGGCTCAAACACATTTTGCAACATACAGTTCACAAATGGTTCCATTTGTACAACAAGAGGCAAGCATTTACAACACATGGAAACACTTCTGACTCCTGACATCACGATTGAAAGAAATGATTTATGGACAGTTTTTGGAATTCTGCTCACACACACAGACTTTAAGAACAGCTAGGACCAACATAATTCAGCACATTCCAGGCAACAGATCTTCTCCTACCCACTCCTCTGAGGCCATGTCTTCACTTCACAGATTGATGCTGCTGATGTTGAACTTCTGGAGATCGATTTAGCGGGCCTAGTGAAGACCCCTAAATCGAATGCTGAGGGCGCCCCCATCAGCATTGGTACTCCTTGCTGTCATGAGGAATAAGGGAAGTCAATGGGGGCCTTTCTCCTGTCAGCCTCCTGCTGCGAGGATGGTGCCACAACTCAGCTTAAAATATGTCAATTCCACCTATGTTTTTACATAGCTGCAATTGCATACCTTAAACCGACCTTCCCCTATAGTGTGTACCTGACCTGAGTTATTGAGGTCTTCAAATCACAGTTTAAAGAATTTAAATTCTGAGAATTTGCATGTAAACTAGTTTAAACCTGTAAGTTACCCCCTGCTGCAGAGGATGGTGGCTCCTGTGATGTTACAATGCTACGCCAAAGGCCCACATGTTGTGGGTGTCACATGTGAGGCAGGGAGAGGGAACACGAGAACTGTAAGGGCACGTCTACACAGCGGCGTAAAAGCCGAAATAAGGTATGCAATTAACTTAGCTCAAGTCAAAAGAGTTTAATTGCGTAGCTTATTTCAGCTTTTGGCACTGTCACCACTCTTCCTTCAACTTCCCTTACTCCTCATAAAATGAGGGTTACAGGAGTCAGAATAAGAAGTCCTTCAGCTCAACCTTATTTCAACCTAATGTTGAAATAACTGCTTGTAGTGTAGACATGGATTTTGTTATTTCAGAATCACATCAATTATTCCAAAATAATGCTGTTGTGTAGACATAGCTTAAAGGAACAATGAGGTTAAGCCAAAATGAGGAGTAGCCATTGCTTTATTATGAGGCTCTTAAAATAGCTTTTTCAAAGTTCAAGAGCACATGAGTCTCAAATATGGGATGTTTCAGCCACTATGACGGTATCAAATATTTTTTGGCCTTCAAATGCTTGGTGTAAGCTGACAGATGAAGAAAGCACTATTCTTGGCTGCCATTTGAATAAGCCGGAACATAGACTGACTGTGTCATCTTAGAGACACATTGTGCTTTTATTAGGCAGGGCCTGTGCATGGAGAGGGTGCTTCAGTGCAATGAGAACTCTCCAGAGAGCAGATGGTACCACAGTTGGCAGCAAGATGCTAGCTGCTCAGGGAAGAATGAAGGAACTGTCTCAAAACAGCAAATGAGTACCTCGAATGCAGGAAGAGTTAAACAAATTGGGCCTGTTGTATGTTTACATGTATGCCACTCTGCACTCTTGGGGCTGCATCTACACTGGAGGGCTTAACTCAAAATAAGCTACGCAAATTGAGCTATTTCAATTGCGTAGCTTATTTCGAAATAGGGAATATCTGCACAGCACTTATTTTGAAATAGAGCACTCTTCCTCTGACTTTCCTTATTCCACGTACAATGACGGTTACAGGAGTCAGAGTAAGAAGTCCAACTTGACAGTCAGTATTTTGACACTATTTCGAATAACTGCCTGCTGTGTGGATGTGGACTGCTTATTTTGAAAGTGTTGCAATGTAGACATACCCTTGTTATGAATAGTAGTGACAGCTAAAAAGAGCATGATCCTCTTCTTCAGAACCCTGATGTATGGTCTGCAGTGCAGGAAAATGTGTTGCAGTTTAGTGACAGATGAGCACGGATAGATTAAGATAAATCC